TAACATCTGCCAAATGCTCGAACAAACTGAAAAATGTGTCAACATCAGTTTCACTAAATTTGGGTAACAGCTTAATATTATTTGCCACAACCAACCCTGTTTTACCCAAAACATTTGAATCAACAAAACTGTCGCCCAGCTTACCCTCACCAATTAATTGAAAGCACATAGCCTCTACCTCCAACCTACGAATCTCAATTTCACGATTAAGTTTCGCCTTCTCTATCTCTAAAATCATTAGATCCCTTTGCTGCTCAAAAGATAATGATGAAACATTAATAGCCGTTTGATCAGCTCCATCATAGTCAACAGCAGCAGATTTTCTCATACTTAAGACATCTAAATTTACCAGAGCTGCTCTTACAATTAATGCAACGGTCCCTTTTAACTGTTTGTCTTTGGTAGTTAAAGGAATTTCATATTTAGCTGCCACATCCAACAACTGATCTTTTGTTAATTTGTCAAACAGTTCTTCACTAGGAGACTTATAAAATAAGTCCAACTCAGTAGCCATTTTACCACAGAACTCGTAATTATCTGACAATTTGAAAACACAATAAGTGATCGTTCCCCCTACTCTTTTCCCTCCCCCCTACAATAACTCACCCTAGTCTTCGTGCCTCCACCAAGAGTCGAGTCTTTTTAAGCGCTCAAATACCGTCAGTTGTCTAATCTCACGGACAAACCAGTGAGATAGACAATAGCGGCAGCGCTCTCAACTCAGCGTTAGCACAAAAACAACAAACTAAAATAAAAAAAAACATCAACACAATGCATTGCTATACCTACCGGGGAACACCACATTTGTGCGACAAAACACAAAGAGTTCGCTGACAAATTACTTTTCTGTAATATTATCACACTGGGCTCTAATGGAGCAAACACATTAGGCTAATCAAAATCCTGCCTGAGCTACACAATATACGATCACATAGCAAAACGTAGTTTTGCTTTTAGGGAAATCCTAACACTTACCATAATGTGGTTTAAATTTCGGCTCCCACTTACTCTCACTTCCTCATGCAGTAAAGCACAAAGATGCCAACAATCCACAGTTTTAAGGACGCCGAAAAACTCTTAAAACATATTTCCCAATAATAAACCAAACACCCGCTGTTTTCTAACGCTAGCATGCAGATTAATCGAATACCAAGTTCAAATACACTCCACCTACACATTATACAGGTGCTAGCGCAAATATAACAAACATACAAATTTCTCTTTTCTTTCTTTTTACTAGAAGCTGGACCCTCCAAACTGGGAACGAGCCCCAAATTGTTACATCCGACTCAAGAAAGCAACAAAAAAAAAGGATTCGAAGTCCAAAAGTATATTAATAAGAAAATGTTTATTTAAGTCCAGGGGTTTAAATGCTAAAGATACTAAATGAACAACAATAAAGAAACAAACAATTAACAGAAAAAAAAGTGAAGGTCCAGCTTCAGAGCACAACTGCAGGATAAGGACGAAAGCTCCTCCTCCAACAAAGGCCAGACACCTTAAATACAGTCCCAAATTGGTAACAGGTGTAGATCCTTATCTGGTAACCTATAAAACAAAAGAAAACGACAACAGGAAAGAAACCCAAAACAAAACCGTAACAAAATGCACAGTTAAACAGGTGAGTTTTGAGTCTGCATTTAAATGTGGCTAATATTTTAGCACATCTGATCTCTTCTGGAAGCTGATTCCAGCTGCGGGTGGCATAATAGTTAAAAGCGGACTCCCCTTGTTTTGTGTGAACCCTTGGTATTTCTAACTGACTCGATCCTAATGATCTAATTGGTCTGTTAGGTTTATATTCAGTGAGCATATCTGCAATGTATTTAGGTCCTATGCCACTGAGTGATTTATAAATGAGTAAAAGTACTTTAAAATCAGTCCTAAATTTAACTGCCAGTGTAAAGACCTAAGGACTGGTGTGATATGCTCAGATTTTCTGGTTCTAGTCAGAATCCTGGCAGCAGCGTTCTGGATGAGCTGCAGCTGTCTAATGGTCTTCTTGGGAAGGCCGGTGAGGAGACTATTACAATAGTCCACCCTGCTGGTGATAAAGGCATGAACAAGTTTCTCCAAGTCTTGACTAGAAACAAAAAATGATTGCAACGTTTTTGAGATGATAGTATGCTGATTTAGTTCTTGCTTTGACATGAGTACTGAAACTAAGGCCTGTCTCCAGAATCACACCAAGATTCTTGACTTGATTTTTAATTGTTTGACCCCTAGAGTTAAGGTATACATTCACCTTGAGAAATTCATCTTTGTTTCCAAATGCAATGACTTGAGAATGAGTTTTCTCCTTGTTTAACTGAAGAGATTTCTGGCACATCCAACTGTTAATTTCATCAATGCATTGGCAGAGGGGGTCAATGGGGCAGTAGTCATTTGGAGATAAGGCTAGGTAAATCTGGATGTCATTTACATAGCTGTGATAGGCAATTTGGTTCTTTCTCATTATTTGACTTAGTGGGAGCATATACAGGCAAAACCGGAGCGGTGCAATAATTGAGCCTTGTGGGACTCCGCATGTCATAGACGTCAACTTAGACTTATGCTCTCCTATACTCCCATAATAACCTCTCCCTTCTAAGTATGACCTGAACCATTTGATTACCATCCCAGAAAGCCCGACCCAGTTTTCCAGTCTCTCTAGAAGTATGTTATGATCGACCGTGTCAAACGCAGCACTGAGATCTAGTAGTACCAGCACTGATATTTTGCCAGATTCAGAATTTAAGCGAATATCATTTATTATCTTAATGAGCGCTGTCTCTGTGCTGTGATGCGGTCGGAAACCAGATTGAAAATGTTGTCCAGGTATCCATTTGAGTTTAAGTAGTTGTTCAGCTGATTAAAAAACTACCTTTTCAATAATCTTGCCTATAAAAGGAAGATTTGATATTGGTCTATAGTTGCTCAATATGGTGATATCAAGATTGCTCTTTTCAGAAGGGGTTTAACAACTGCAGTTTTCAGGGATTTTGGAAAAGTCCCAGAAAGAAGTGCGGCGTTCACCACTTCTAAGAGATCTGCTTCTAAACAGTTAAGCACCCTTTTGAAAAAAGATGTGGGAAGCGTGTCAAGGAAACAGGTTGACAATTTTAGGTGCTGTACTATTTCTTCCAAAACTTTGCTATCAATTCCTTCAAAAACAGACATGGTAACTTATTTTTGAAATTGCGGTCGAATCTGTCTGACCTCTGCATAACTTGAGGATGTGCTAATCACCTTCCTGATATTATTGATCTTCTCAGAAAAGAAGGAAGCAAACTCATTGCATTTGCTGTCAGAGAGCAATTCACTGGGAATCTGACTTGTGGGGGTTTGTCAGTCTCTCAACAGCAGCAAAAAGAGTGTGTGTTGTTTAAGTTACTGTTTATAAGGTTTGAGATGAAGGTCTGTATAGCTGTGGCTAGTTCCACATTGAAAGCATGAAGGCTGTCTTTATAGATGCTATAGTAAATGTCAAGTTTCGTCTTCCGCCACATCTGCATTGTCTTTTCATACTCCGTACTGCTGTTGATTTTCTCCAAGGTGATTTTTGTCTACCATTCTTCTTATTGACTGTTGCAGGAGCAATATCATCAATAACATTCTTAACGTTTGAGTTAAAAGAATCAAGGAGAAGATCAACAAAGGCTGCAGAAATGCTTGGAGTTAAAGCTCTAGCCTCCATAAATAGCACACTAGTGTTTTCGTTAATGCATCTCTTTCTGACAGACAGATCTAAATTCAGTGGTAACAGATGAATATATCAAAGAAAATACAGAAGTGATCAGATAGTGCTTCATCCTTAATAACAATAGATGAAATGTTTAGACCTCTACTGATGAGTAAATCTAGAGTGTGTCCACGATTGTTTGTAGGTTCATGCACATGCTGAATCAGGTCAAAAGTGTTTAAAACGGTTATAATTTATTTTGTAGTTTTGATTTCTGCATTATCTATGTGAATATTAAAATCCCCTGCAATAGCAAAACAGTCAAACTCTGAGGAAATCATTGATAACATTTCTGTGAACTCTTCAACAAAGACTGGAGAGTATTTTGGAGGCCTATAAATAATGATAAACGGAATGCTTGGAACACCTTTCAGCACAATACATAAATATTCAAAGCACAAGAAAGAGATGATGATGATGATGATGATGATGAACTCTCCTTGGATCACCTTCATCTTTCATTTACATTGCTTTAATATTTGCTGTTCCTCACGATGTAAAATATTTATTTACTACAATTTAGTATTTGTGTATTGTTATATTACAAAGTAAAAAAAACAAAAAGAAAAGCAAAATACAAATGAGGACCATAAGAAGAAATTTGTCTGCAAAATAAGCAATAATAATGTTATCCTATAAAATACAAAGGTCAACTTCATCACAAACGTTACATCAGGGGTCAGATTCATTTTATTCCCTCTTACCAGATTTGTAAATTGACTATCAAGGTGATTTGAGTCAGTTTCACAAACACATCTTTGGATTCAGATGATATTGTTTTTTATTAGTCATTTTTCATAGATGTACAATCTAAAGTTAATAATCATCTTCCAGTAAAGCGAATAAGTGGTTATTTTCCAACATGGACAATGCACGACAATTTGGCTTTAAGCAAATCTGTTTGTGAGCGCCACACTGTGGTGGTTCATTATTAAGGCAGCATGTAAAGTTCTCTACAAGAGTTATGCAAGATTGATCAATAATCATGGAAAAAAAATAATTATATCATAAAATTAATGCAATTGCAATTTCACTGAACAATAACTAACTATTAGAATGCTGATCATTTTATGTGCAACAACTGAATTAAACACCATATTTAGAAATATAATTTTTTTTCATTGGTCCAGGACTTCATAAAACATGTTCTCTGCTTGACTAAAACCACATTTCCTACAGTGCATTTACTTTCCCCGTCCTTTTAGTTGATTTGCTGGGCGCTGAAGAAGCATGTGAGCAATGTTTGCTCAAAAAAGAGTCCCCTTTTTCCCAAAGACCCTTACAGACCTGTAAATAATAAGTAGTGAAGTCATTACAGAGCTTTCAGGTCATACACTGTACAACACAATTAACCCTTTGTGGGCTCTTTCTTTAATTGATATACTTTGCCGTCCTGCATCCTTAGTGAAGGTTTCCACTGGAGGTCGAATCCAGCTCAGATTCACATCAGGGATCTTCAAAGCTGATTTCAGCTAAGAGGAATGATTACTGGTAAGTGATTTCATTTCCATTTTAATGACATACTCATTTTTAGAAGGCAAGATTCAAAACCACAGGTGCAAAGGGTCAAAAGGACACCCTTTATTTTCCACATTTCATTATAATATTAAAGCCTTTTTTCTTTGTCTAGATTTCAGCACATTTGGTTTTCCCACAGTATAATGTCTTGTTTAATATTAAAAAAAGTTAATTATTTTTCAGAGTTCACACAACATATTATTGTAGTATGCTTTACAAGAAAATGCTATTTTAGTCTTTCTACTTCAACATGACATGTTTACTTCAGTGTGTTATTGTTGATTCTTTGTAATTATTTCTGAAATTCACTAGTAATTTCTGAGTGAAAAATTATTTCTACACCACATTTTTCAGTGTAGAATGGTGAAGAAATTCATAGACACAATATATGTCAATTAAAAAAAAAAAACTTTTTTATTTTGTAAAAGTCGCATGTATTTTAAGACAAAATATAATTTTCTGTTTTTTTCAAGGTGATTAAGTCAATAGTTTTACAGTGACCGTCAGACTTTCCTCAATGCAGCATTTCTATACAGTAATTTAGAGACATTGTGAGAAAAGAAGCTGCACAAAACATGAGCACGACTCACTCTTACCTCTTCCAATAGTTTGTCTCTCGTCACAGGGTCAGTCAAATTGGCACTGGAGTGAAGCTTTACCTTTATGAATGTTCTGCTTAACATGAACTCTAAAACGCATCATTAGGCAAATTAGCACATGTATGTCCACAAATACATATATTAGGTTCAGTTTGCATAGCAAATTAGAAAAGACCAACTACAGCACTTATGGTTAAGCTTCTGGAAAGGTCATTTATTTACCCTATAAAGTCTCATATTTGATACATATTTGAGTTTCTAACTGATCATACACGATCTACTCCATGCGTTCTGTTGTCTAATTGATAGTTTATACTTTTTATCAAGTCAAGGGTCTTTTAGTATAATTGTACAAACATCCACCTTCTTTTTGCTGTCAAATCTTTGCAGATTTTTATAAAGAAGTACTTTTAACGTAAGAATAACTTTGATATTGTGATTCTGGACTGAAGCAACTTAGCTTTACTTGATGATCATACTTTTTTTCTTTTTTTTCCCCGATATTTTTTATGATCATCAGGCTTTTGATGGACGCTTATTTGTTCATCTCTCAATCATCATTGTTTTGCATTGCATTATATCTTTTGATCTTAAAACTAAGTGTCATCTTACTACGACATAGGGAGATATAGAGTGACAACTGATATTTATATCATTTTATGTAATTAGTCTGCTATACTGTTTTAAAAATCTCCTTGATTTACATTACAAACTATTAGCATAGCCATATCTGCACCTGCTTTTTTGCTTAGTTTGGGCTGTTTTCCCCTCCATAATATCACTATATTATACTGTATGAGCCATAAACAGTCCTGATGATTTAAAACATATATGCTATTTTTTTTTTTATATTTTGCCTAAAGCAGGGGTGTCAAACTCAATTCCTGGAGGGCCGGAGCCCTGCAGAGTTTTGTTCCAACACACATACCATGTAGTTTTCAAATAAGCCTGAAGGACTTGATTAGTTGGATCAGGTGTGTTTAATTAGGGTTAAATCTAAACTCTGCAGGGCTCTGGCCCTCCAGGAATTGAGTTTGACACATCTGGCCTAAAGATTCAATAAATGGTTCTGTTAACAAAATCTGTTATTTCAAGATTAATAGGGTTAAAATGTACTTAATTGTACACTGTGCATTGTAATTGGGTGGTTAACATTAATTAATATTTGTAGTACCTGTCCCGTAGACCTCCACCTCACACAAAGTAAGGACCTTCATTACTCCAGGGATTACCAAGTTCACATAACGACCCACCATCCCAACGCATAAGTAAAAGTAGGACACACCAGCTGGAATACTGGAAATGACTGCACATCTAATGAGAGAAACAGAGCGAAGGACAGGATTCAATCAGGCTTATATTAATTCTATGAGCTTGTGTTTCATTGTTCTAAAGGGCCTTTACACCAAGAACGATAACTATCGCTGTATTTTCGAACAATTTTTAGTTATTTATTTATTTTTTATTTTTCGGGAGTACAAACTTTCTGGAGAAGTTCGGTCTGACTGGCAAACTAAACCCAATTCGAAAAAAAAAAAAAATGAAACCAGTTTCTGCTACGGAATAAAACGGGTAACCTAACTGTGAAAAAAAAAAAATTACAAGATATAAACAATTACATTACTTCTCGCATTTCTCACAATTCTCGAGAATCTCACTTTTCTGATCTCAATTTTGACTTTTTTTTTTTTTATCTGAAATGCGCTCATATCTCGCATTTCTGAGAAAAAGAAAAGTTAGGAATGTGAGAAAAACGGCCATTTATACGCAGAAATTGACTTTGGCATGCATGTGATAAGCATGTGTTTGTTTGGCGTGCATTTAATACACAGTTGTCGCGTGCATATGACACGCACCTGCCCCACACCCCTAATCCTAACCAACCATTGCGCATCATATTCACGCCAAAGTCATTTTCTGCGTATAAATAGCACGCCAAATAGAAATAGAAAATCGTGGTATTGATACGCACATTCATGGGATCGGGTTATGTAGGCTATTTGAAACTTGTTAAGCGAAGAATGAAAAAAGATCTACGCCTTGAGTAGTTGGTCCTTAAATGGATAGTTCACCCAAAAAAGTTGATTCAAGCCTGTATAAATTTATTACTAAATATATATATATGTATACTAAATATATACTATATTTCCACTATGGAAGTCAATCGGAATCAGCAACTGTTTGGTTACACACACATTCTTTAAAATATGTTATGTTCAACTGAAGAAAGAAATTCATGCAGGCTTGTAGCAACAGCTGACATAATTTTCAATTTTGGGTGAACTATCCCGTTAATATAGTTTTCGTTATTCTCATTCTTGGTGTGAACCGGCCTTTGAAATGTTCATCCAAGCAGAGTCTCACTTAGGGTTATCGTTGCCGTTATTCTTCAAGGAGTTTCCAACACGAATCTCGGCTCCGTTTAGGTGCTCTGAACAGCAGTCTATTCGGTTAGTGACGACCACCGTGTAAACCCTGTAGATGTTCAGCAGATCCAGCCTCCAAAACGAGTTATTCCCATAACCGGTTGAGGAACACTTTGTCCTGTCATTTTTAATACCATCAATAGCTTTTTCGGCTTCCCAGGCGAGATGTGTGGGAGACTGTGTAGCATTTTTTCCTATTGCCACATTGCCTAAAATGTGTTTAATGAAGTAAAATGTTTGAGAGACTGAAAGTAGAATAGCAACACTAGATTTTAGCAGAGGAAATCATGATTTTGAGAAACAAATAACCAGTTAGCAAAACGATAATGGAATAATATCAAATCAATACAATATATCAAACTAATGTTTTTAATCAATGCATTTCTTATTTAGTTAGGTATATATATAAATAAAATACTACATACACCCGGAGGAAAATACACTTTTGATGTAATTTTCTCCCAAAACACTAAACAACTAGAAAAAACAATGACATAATTTATGCTATTACATTTATACTGAAGACACATTTAGGCACTTGGCTTTACAGTAACAGAAACAGGTACACTATTGAAAATTCACCAATCTTACTTGTTTCAGCTGCCTCTTCTCGGACTATGAAAATCACTGTAGAAAATAAGGATTGCATTGTGTTTTACAGATATTTAGACAGATATGCTCCTATAGCACACACAAAACTACTGTAGACACATTTAAGCTTGGCTTTACCCAGTAAGAGAAACAGGTACGTGTTGAGCCTCTTCATTTCTGACAGAGAAAGAGAGAAAGACTAATAAAGAAATACATATAATAAACTTTAAGCCAGTAATCACTGGTTCAAGAATCTGGTCGTCTTTGTTCATTAAAAAATAGCATTGCCTTTTAATATAAACGTTGCAGTCATTAAACAAATGAGTTTATTTTCTATCCATACACAAAGTACAAACATAATCAGTGTTAACATAGTAACAGTTAAAATAAAGATTGTGTGTAAAATCTTAAATTAGTACCTCGTTTTTTATTGTGTTTTGAAATGGTCCATCAAATCAGCAATGCACGTCAGGGTGAACTGTGTCATATGGAGGACTCTGAATTATACTGTACATAAGCACCACCCTCTGTGTGGAGCCCAGCCCTCACTGCTCTGAAATCATGATTCACTATCACACGTGACCAACCTCATTGTATGCATTACAGACGAATAAAAGAAGTAAAGATCAAAAATAAAGAACTAAAATCAAATGAAGTAAGGCTAAAAACATTTAAATGCTTACAAATAGTAACACATTTTAACAGCTTATTTCTTTTTCAGATATAAATGTGTGTATGTTTATCAGGAATGAGGCGCATTCACCGATCTATATAATGAATTGATTGCGTTCTAAACTGCCATTCGGCTGTAAAGCCACCGGAAGTGTTCGCTATCTTATTCCGTAACAGCAGAGGGCATCATTGACTGACAGCCAAAACACTGACCTAAAATCATCCGATTTGAAGTCACACAGATTTAGTTTATGTTATGTAAATACATTTTTAATTCAGATGTTATCTGCATGTTTATGGTCTTTTTGGGCAGGATAAGCGATATATTGAAATCATTTAGGTGCGTGTGTCTGCTGCGCACTGCCGACATGGGTAACTGCAAGCACAAAATATATTTCTTTACGTATGTAATTATGCAGGAAATATTAAATATTAAACGTTATGCAGGAAATATTGAACATTAATATATATCTGGTATTAGTATCAGAAACTGATTCGGATATACAATATATAGGATATTACAATACAAGCCTCAGCTGTTAATATTTACATTTACATTTAGTCATTTTGCAGACGCTTTTATCCAAAGCGACTTACAATTGGAGAATACATAAAGCAATTCTTCTTAAAGAGGCAAACAGACACAGGATGTGCTTGTAATACCAAGTTTTAGGCATTGCTCAAATAAGTACAAGCTAGAAAGGGAAGGAATAAATAAAGAGACAGTGTTTTTTTTTTTTGTTGTTTTTTTTTTAATTTAATATTAAGTCAAGTAGCGTTGAAAGAGATGAGTTTTCAGCTGTCGCTTGAAAATTGTCAGGGAATCAGCATTTCGGATTCAGGTGGGAAGATCGTTCCACCAGCCAGGAATAGTGAACGAGAATGTTCTGGTGTGATTTTGTGATTTTGAGCCTCTCTGTGATGGTACCACGAGGCGTCGCTCACTAGTGGATCTCAGATTTCTGGAGGGGATGTAGATTCGTAGTAGTGAGTGGAAGTAGGCGGGTGCTGAGCCTGTGGCTGTTCTGTATGCAAGCATCAATGTCTTGAACTTGATGCGAGCCGCAACCAGTAGCCAGTGCAAGGAGATAAAGAGAGGTGTAACATGGGCTCTTTTGGGCTCGTTGAAGACCAGTCGTGCCTCTGCTATTGCTCTATTTTGTATTGAAATTCAAAGATTACCATGCGTCATCGGTCCGTGTATCTTTTGGTAATTTGATTTTCTACTTTCTACTAGAAATAAAGAGAAATGAGAAACGGTTTGATTTTCATTTTGTTTAAGAAATGGAAAACAAAAATTTAGCTGGATTTTGTTCATGTGTAAAAATGAGATTATGCTTTAATATTTGTTTTGAATGTGTGGGCGGCGCTGAAACACCCCTTTCATCCCTTCTTTCATTCCATCCCGCGGCAGCCTAATGGATGGAGAGTTAGACCTGTAAACCGAAGGGCGCAGGTTCGAGTCTAGGGTCCAACAGGGATTGTTGGTGGGGGGAGTGAATATCCAGTGCTCTCTCCACCCTCAAAACCACGACTGAGGTGAGACCCTTGAGCAAGGCACAGAACCCCTAACTGCTCCGGGTGTGTGTAAAACGACATTTTAATTTCACCGTATATGATCTACAACGACATGGAATAAAATATGATAGCCTACTACTGATTTTAAGCCTACTCATTTTATTCTATGCCCTATTTAAGAAAAACTTCACAGGTAACGTTTTCATTTGCTATTACAAACAACAGCAACTGAAGCTATAGCTTGTAGAGCGCAACAAGTATACTGCACTTCTCCGGTCGGCAGAGGTGCGGCGCGATCCCGATAACAGTGGAAAGAGCTTCAGCTCCATCAGTTTCGGTCATACAACACCCTCAATAAAAACAAAATGTTACAAAACTCTGTTGTAAAATAAAGAAACCAAACCGGGTGTGCTTTCTGCCATCTCGGTCTCCCTGAACTTCTTTCTGAAACACGTCAGAAATGAACCGAAACGCTTGCATCACAGACATATGAAACATGTCTATAGAAAGCTTGACATGTCTACTTTTAAAAGAAACAATTTAAATCGAAAAAAAAAAATGTTTATGTAATTCATATTAAACTAACGAGAGGTGCAGTGGTTCCTGTCTGAGCTCATTATCTGTAATGTGGTCACACCAACACTGTATTCATATGGTAATCATCCACAGAATAAGGCTGAGGAATAAACCGAGTATTTACCTCAGTAGAAGAACGGCTTGATTCAGTGGAGGAGATCATTTCTGACGAGAAAATCATTCATTCTTACTTGCATTATAACCTGTACATTACTAGTTGGGATTTTCCCAAACTATAGCCTACGTGGAAAACTGAATCCATGCAGGACTTTAAATGATCTGGAATAGTGACTGTAATGACATTAATATGATATCGCTTAAGCCGAATTCAGTTCATAATTCCAAAGTATAGCCTATAATTGGGATTTAAGACATTACAGTAGACTAATTATTATGGCGAAAACTTGAGTAAATATTTATTATAAATAATTGTTATTATAAATAATATTATAAATATATTTATGTGGGGTTGGGTTTTTCCCATGAAACTGTTATGTAAAAAACGTTAAAAGTCCTCACATAGCCTACATATATTGCACAGATTTACAGCTCCAAGTGATTTTACGTTTGATATAGTTATGCAGCTAGGCATATGGCTACAATGAGTGTTAATAACTGAAACTAATTTCATCCCGTACATACACAGATGCACACACATTGAGGAGATGGATACATAAATAATTGGATTTTTAATGTCTTATGTAACATGGGCACTTATATACTATAAAATATGAACCTTTAAAAACTATAAGATAACCAATATATAGGCTCAAATATTTTATTAAGAGGTAAACAAGGAAACATGAGTTTGCCATGAAAACATTTTATTAGCACTTTATACAAAATAATGTTTGTGACTCATTGAGTAATGTACAAACAACAACAAAAACGGTTGTGTTTTAAAACATAAAATCAGCCGCTTATGTTCGTGTTTGTTCATTACTAAAATACAGTAAATCATTTGCATAAAAAATCCCAACTTTGTGCTGGTCATGGACCCTCATGGAAATATGAATGATGCGCTAATGTAAAACGGCTCTATTCAGCCTGGAGAACATGGAGGTGCCGTCACCAAGCGTTTAATTGTAAACAATACCATAGTTACTAAACAGATAATAAGATACGATTCTAGAGATGGCACATAATATTTCTGTAATATGGCCAAATCAATTACAATATCGTACACAAAGGAATGCGCATGCTTATGCTTCAAGCGTCTACACCAATAAGATTTGCTGTTTTATAAACCAATGGAATTGGGGGTGGGCGGAGCGACATGTGTCATCCTGCCCCATCGTCCAGGCTGTACTCTGGAGTGCATTAGTGATGGGAAATTCGGATCATTTTACCGACTCGGATCTTTGAGTCTCGTTCAGCAAAATGAACGAATCTTTTTTCGAGTCATTTAGTTCATTATTCAAAACGAACGAATCGTTCAAGAACAACCCAACACTAGAGTGCATGGTCGGGATGGTCCTCACTGCAGAACACAAGATCCAGGGGGCGTGGTTGAATCCACATCTAGGTGGTGGAGATTGGTAGGTTTAGGGGTGGAGATGGGTGGGTTAAGGGATCAGGGGTTGGAGACGGGTAGGTTTAGGTATATGTAAGGTGGGAGGAGTTGGATCAGGATCCAACCATGCCCCCAGGATCTTGTGTTCTGCAGTGAGGACCATCTCACTTGGTACAGTTCAGATCAGTGGGCGCATTTAATGTGACGTCACTAGACCAGTTTATGTCGCTCAATTTTTAAACAGATTTTTTTGAGCTAGTTAGTCAATTTCCGGATTGTGTGAACTCAACTGGCATGAACATATAGCCTAAACTGGACTAGAGCTACACACGTAGAATGGAATGAATGAATATGCAAAATAACTCTCTTTTTTTTTTTAAACAATTGTTTTGAAATTTCGTATCGTTCTGGGCCAATTCAACACTGTAACGTTACCAAACGTCGGCTTTTGTTACATTGAGTTTGTTTTGTGCATACTTCGCGCGCCCATTTATCGTGAACTAGGCTACAACGCGGACGTCTGTCTCAGGCTTGGCAAAGATCAATCGTCATTCAAAATCCCTGCAGGGAAGCTGATGACAGATTTCCTCCACTAAGCTGTTCAAGCGTTTTCACGCCGTGGTCAAGGAAACTCTTCTCCAGAAGACGTATGCTAAGTTTTCCCGTGAGGTCAGGTTGGCTAATCATGCTCTGGGCCTCAGAGGGCTTTGGCTTACATTTATTTTGGGTTGCTGTTTCTAATTATAATTATTTGTTCTTATCCAAAATAAGTATCCTAAACACGCATTAAATAAATATAACATTTAAAACCTAAACTAAAACAGGAACCATTTTAGCATGTGCTATAGAGGTTGGGGTCAGTAAAGGGAATATTTTGTTAAAAAACAATACACAATGGATTGAAGTGGCACTGTGCTCATTTGAAGCACAAATGTCATGCAGAAATATGAAAAACTATAAACAAAACAAAAAAAATTTAAGTCATACATAGGAGTGTGTGAGGAACATGTCCCCAAATTAAGACATTATTTTCTTGGTTAATATTCACCCATGCCATTGGAATCAATTTAAATTTTCCCTCATATTCTTGAAAATGGTGCCGTTGGATGCAACTCTTCAGTTGTGACAACTGATGGCAAATGACATTGGCTGTGGTGTTACCTATGAGGTTTGGGTAAAATTTTTGTCTGTTCATCACTGTGATGAGTGGGGGCGGGGCCGAGAGCCGTGGGAACGGAGCGAGGCCGGTGGATTAATTGATAATGCACGACACCTGCACCACTCACAGGTCTCGAGTCCCACGGAGGAGCTCCGGAAGGATAAAAGGAGGAGCTACAACAGTGAAAGACGAGAGAGGACCAGGCCTGTATTTTATTTTGTGTTTTGTGTGCGGCAGTAGTCCGCGAGGGGCTGCCGCTTTACTTTCGTTTTGTGTTTGTTTATTTTATTAAAGTCTTAAATGTTCGCCGGTTCCCGCCTCCTTCTTCCCGACCTACGAACGTTGTTACAATCACTAAGCTACAGATGATTATATGACTGTAGAAGACTTGAAATAGGCCCATATATGGCATAGACTACGTTTATGATGTTGTTGTTTGTCATGTAAAATCTATCCGCTATCCAGAACATCTCTTTAAAGGATATTATACAAATTTAGATATTACACACTTCTTTTTAATGAACAGTGATATGCTACTATACAGAGAAACATTTGTACATTATTTAGTTCCTCACTCTGGTGGTTTTTGATTATTTGTTTTAAGAGTGAGAGAGAGCTATAATAATCATTTCAGTTCAAAACATGAACTTCATGTAGATGATATGCATTAGAATATATCGACTCTCTTATAAGATGAAAAACAGTTTTTCCTTTCACCCGGTTTTTAATTTTCTGTCAAGCAGCATCACTTAGGAAACATTTGTTTCTTCCAAGAGACATATTTATAATCCAGGTTATTGTATTCTTTCACATGGACCTGTAAATAAAGCATATTAAGACCCACATACTGATGTCTTAACCAATGAATATGTTTTTCAAGAGTTGGGTTCCATAAATGTACTTACCTTCCTCAATGACGTCCTGTTTCACCTCTCGCTGAGGAGGATTTGTCCAGGACAGTTTGACGTTGGTGATCCCTCTTAATTCCAGAGCAGACTGCAGCTAAAAGTAGCATCATCCGGAATAAAATTTTTTAAGAGTTCATTGTACTTTTTAAACATAATGTATCGAAACAACTTCTCCAGTTGATGAATATCTATGAAACTAATCTGCAAAGCAGCTGATTTTAACAGTCTGAGAAGCACATAAACTTTATAAATCTGATGCTTTTATCCACACGAGGAACATCACAAGTAGAACAGGAGTGAAATATAGTAAGTGCCTTTGTTTATGGTTGTTTATGATTAGTTAAGTCTTTGTGGAAGACGTGTCTTCAGCTGTTACTTTAAAGTTTTGACGGTATCAGCCGATCCGGGGTGCGTTTCCCAAAAGCATTGTTAGCCAACTATGGTCGCAAGTTTCGTCGTTATCAACATAGTTCAACGATTCGAAACCATTGTTCAAACGAACATTCGCAAACAGCGTCGCAAACTTATGTGGTAGGAACTACAGCTCTCGACCTGTGGTTAGAAGCATAGTTTCGTTAATTAGCAGAAGTTATTACTCCACCAAATGTGTGTGACGTTGAACTAATGTGGTTCAAATGATGGATATGCGACCGTGTTCAGGAAACAGTCGTGACTGGCTAGTTAGTTTCCAGAACAATGCATCGTACTATGGTGGTTAATCAGTGAGTTACGTCATTGTACGGGAAATGCACCCCAGGTGAGGATTTCACCACAGACGAACAGAGAGAGTGAAGTGTCAGGAAAGCAACTTTTTGTTTCATTATTGAAGCACAGATTGTTTTATGAATCTGTCTCAAATATTTGTTTTCAGTTTTAGCTCTTAGGTTTTGCAAAAGGCATTTTTTTTTTCTTTCATGAAGGGGCAAGATAACAGGAGCAGCAAACTATAGTTTACAGCCTTGCATTTGTTAATTGTAGTGTTAATGAATGTTTATTTTTTTTCTTTCTAACCTGATAGAGTAGTTTGTCACTCTCTGAGCCGGCTAAATCAGAACTGGAGGCAAATTTCAGCCTTACAAAGTTTTTTCTCATTGAAAAAATACAAATGACATAATATGAACACACAAGTCGGGGAATGAGTGTTACAAGTGAAATGAAGACTTGTAGACTTTGGATTGACATTAAATTTAATTGATAAGGCCGTTGGACATAGAACTGTGTATGTTCCAAGTTATACTGTTGTAAACATTGCCTTTGAATGTTCAAATGACAAAATATATCATTCCAAACAGTTTCCAGTGGATAAAATCTCAGTTGTTGTGAAAGTTAGATTAACATTAGTGTACTGAATGGCCATTATTAATATGATATGAATTGAAGGAAAACGTTTGCATGTACAGTATGTGTGTGTGTTTGTGCGTATTTATTAATGAATTAATTTATATCCATAATGAGTTACCTGGCAAACTCCCATAGACTTCCACCTCACACAGTGCAAGGAACCTTGTTTCTTGAGGAATAACCACATTCACATAACGTCCCACCATATCGGGACAAGAGTAGCTGTAGGAAGCTCCTGCTGGAATGCTAGTAATTACAGCACATCTAGAGAGATGATGGAAAACATCAATCATTTAACACCTAATTAAGGAAGATAAAGCAACACAATGGCTTGTTGAGCAGAATGTAGTGAAGCAGGTAGGATCAAATCTCAGAAAATACTGAAAAAAATGGGAAACTTAAGTAAACTCCAGCTTATATCTTCTTTTAAATTATCAAATGATAAATGTGACCCTGGAGCACAAAGCAGTCATAAGGATAATTTTTTCAAAATTGAGATTTATACATCACCTGAAAGCTGAATAAATAAGATTTACATTGATGTATGGTTTGTTAGGATAGGACAATATTTGGCCGATATACAACTATTTGAAAATCTGGAATCTCCTTTAAAGTTATCCAAATGAAGTTCTTAGCAATACATATTACTAATCAAAAATTAAGTTTTAATATATTTACAGTAGGGAATTTACAAAATATCTTCATGGAACATTATCTTTACTTAATATCCTAATGATTTTTGGCATAAAAGAAAAATCAATCATTTTGACCCATACAATGTATTTTTGGCTATTGCTACAAATATACCCCAGCGACTTAAGACTGGTTTTGTGCTCCAGGGACACAAATATTTCTGTAGTGCAATACAGAATGCAAAATTAGAGAAACAAAAATCACATAAATTTGACATTGAATATTAATTATAACACTCGGGCTGCAATAACTAACAATAACTAATAACAGAATTGGCGGCTAATTCGTATAAATTCGTACAATCTAATTTATTTGTTTTCAGTCAACTGTAAGTCAGACCGATGGTTATGCTTAGGGGTCATACCTTTCCGTATTAATAAATTTGTACGAAATCATACGAGACCGCCACCTCATAAAATAGTTACTTTTAGATTACCACCAACTTTACCGGTTACGTGAGTAAAATTATCACATGGGATTGTTGTTGCCATTGTTTTCCAGGGAGTTTACAATACGAATCTCTGCTCCGTCGAGTCGTTCTGGACAGCAGTTCGCTCTGTTTGTGACGGTCACGGTGCTGATATAGTAATTATCCAGTAGATTCAGCCTCCACCACGGATTCACCTCCGAATTTGTACCGGTACAAAATGAGGCTGCACCCGGGGCGTATTTTATTCCATCGACGGCACGATCAGCCCGATAGTATTCAAATACAGATGACTGAGCCGCAATTCCTTTTAATTTCACATTATCTGGAAAGTGATTCAGCTGCATATTAGGGCACTTTTTAAGCAAGTTCTATATACGCTATTAATTGAACGTTTGAAATAATTCAGATTTTTTCAAATCACTTGAGAAGTCACTTATGCTCACAAATGCTGCATTTATTTGATCAAAAAAAATAAACATTATTTTTTTATTTCTGAAGGAACGTGTGACACTGAAGACTGGAGTAATGATGCTGAAAATTTAGCTTTGCATCATAGGAATAAATTACATTTTACAATAAAAAATGCTGGATTGTTTCAATCCAACTTTGGGTCAAATATGGACTAACCCAACTTTTGGGTTAAACATTTATTTAAAACATTTAACCCAACAGATGGGTTACTCCATATTTGACCCAAAGATGGGTTGAAACAACCCAGCATTTTTAAAGCAGCACTATGTAACTTTTGTCGCTCTAGCGGTTAATAAACAGAACTGCACACATCCTGTGGAAGAACATTCCAACCGGAGCTACTTCTCTAAGTTGATGTCTATGGCGATTCACGCAGGTATGTGTTACTCCGCAGCGGTGACCAGGCTACAATAGTCCAAATATAAGTACTTATTATAAGTGTACCGTAGTGATTCGGAAGAAGACAAAAACGCGGTTTGGAAGATTAATTCATGATGTACTCGCTCATTATATACATTTAGCAAATTTCAAACACAGACAAAGTTACATAGTGCTGCTTTAAGAGTGTTTATTCAAATAGGAAACTGTTCTTGTATTGTAATAATAATTCACAATGTTACTGTTTTTACAGTATTTTGGTCGAATGAATGCAGCCTTTATGAGCATATGCTTTTGACCAGTAGTGTATATACATTAGTACTGTATTTTAAGGTGTCAAGAAGTAGGGCTACCATTTCCGTAGACTCTCACTTCACACAGAGTGAGATTCTTTGAATCACCAGGAATGACCACATTCACGTAACGGCCTTTCATTCCACCACACGAGTAGGAAACAGATTGACCTGCAGGAATACCAGAAATTTCCGCACATCTAGAGAAAGAGAGAATATGAAACATAATTTCACAACTTAAGCAATATCACAATTTTTTTTTTAAATCCTTTTGCATAACATTGCACAACATGTTCATATTTTACTATTAAAGAACCATTTCAGTTGCCACATTTATTTTAATTAAATGCTAATTTGTCATCACATGGGGTTGTTGTTGCCGTTGTTCTCCAGGGAGTTTCCAATGCGAATCTCTGCTCCGTTGATTTGTTCAAAGTAGCAGTACATCCTGTTAGTGATGATCACTTCTTGAATGATTTGTAGATCCGTCATATCCAGCCTCCACCATGGGTTCGTCTCGGTTTCAGTGTGGGTGCAGTGAAAATCATTATCATCAATGGCTGTAGTCGCCTATAGCGGAGTGTAGATGACTGCTCAGCCTTGCCCTTGATTGGAATATTTCCTAGAATGGGTAACGAGAAATACAAACAACCATGTTATTCTTATTTATAATGCAGTTTAAATCATTTAATTATTAGTTAACTTTACATGTGGCAGGGAAAGCGTATCACTGTAGTTTGTTCACTGGAATGGCCTGAGATGAGACATTTTTAACAGACTCTCATAGATTGTATCTTAAAGGTCTAAACATTGTTGGAAAGACTGACAGAAACCTTTTAAGAGCCGTTGACCAGTGTGAGAGAAATTATAAAATATGTGAACCCCTTCAGCCTTTTGTATGTCTCTGTAAACCCTCCTGCTTTCCATGAAAAACATATGAATTTTGCATATATATTAGTGTATTTTTTTTTCCTTCCAGAAAAGGAGGTCGTGATTAGGACATGCAAATCCCACCAAAGTGTCTGGGTGCTTAGGCAAATGAAGCTAAGCACTAATTACAGAAAAGCATGTTATAGGTTCCAAGCTGAAATAAAAGAAAACCATTTGAAAAAAATAAATCATCAATCTATTATAATATTGCATTTTAATAAATAAATTATACATTATTATACATTCACAATTTGAAAAAAAAAAGTCAGTTTTAATGGTCTCATACCAGTTTTCACTGCTTGAACTGGTGGACTCCCTGTAGAAACATCACAAATATATAGATTGATTTACAGTAAATATATGATATTTATACTACTGAAATTAAACACATTTATGCACTAAAATAACAGAAACAGGTACACTATTGACTTACTTTTTTCAACTGCCTCTTGTTGAACTGTGAAAAACCCTGAAGAAAAGAGGAATACACTGTGTTTCACAGATATTTAAACTCCTATAGCACACACAGAACTACTGAAATTAGACACATTTAAGTTTGAGTTTACCCAGTAAGAGAAACAGACACTTGCTGAGCCTCTTCATTTCTGAGGGAAAAAGACAGAAGACTAATACAGAAAAATATAAATAATAAAAAATAATAAATTTTATTGCCAAAGAGAGTACATAGTGATGAAAAATGTGTAAAAGGAATTTAGGGCAAGTAATACACTAAATCAAAGTATCACAAAAGTTTGATATTTTTATTATTATTTTCAAAGATTCACCGGGATGTAATACCATTTTCAAGATCTACAACCAGGAACTCAAAACATGAAAGTCATGATATCACGTAGCACTGTAGCATAAATTTAGACAAAGTAATTATGTTAACTTTTAGAGGTTAGTTCGACAACACTATATGTGCATCATAAATCTGTATAACAACAGATTGAAGTTTTTGTCATTCTCAAAGATTCACGAGGATTTATTAAAATTTTCGGTAACACTTTAGAATAATGGTCCATTGTTAACAAGTAACTATGCAGGAAGTAATAGGTATACTAGTAGTACTACATTAACACTTAACTTAATACTATTAACTAATAGAGAAGCGAGATTAACTAAGCAGTAAGTAGTAGCAAATTTAGGACAAAGGTAGTTCCTTATTAGATATTTGATAATTAGTAAAAAAATATATCCTCATTGAGAACTACTTGCGAACTATAACCAGTTAATAAAGAATAACCATTTAATTACTAATCACAACAGTAACGCCTTAAAAGCCTTAGTAGTGGGGAAGTTGTGGCCTAATGGTTAGAGAGTCGGACTCGTAACCCAAGGGTTGCGAGTTCGAGTCTCGAACCGGCAGGGATTGTAGGTGGGGGGAGTGAATAACCAGCGCTCTCTTCCACCTTCAATACCACGACTGAGGTGCCCTTGAGCAAGGCACCGAACCCCCAACTGCTCCCCGGGCGCCGCAGCATAAATGGCTGCCCACTGCTCAAAACAATGCACATCCTTAATGAAGGCATCAACTGCATTTATATTGTGTTAAG